ACCTTCAACATCTGAAGAACCTTTCTGTTTCACAAAAGGTTCTTCGTGGCGAAGGAAGGTTCTTCAGATTATAAAAAGGTAAGAAAGAGATGGTTCTTTAAAGAACCTTTGACTGAATGGTTCTTTGTGGAACCAAAAATGGTTCTTCTATGGCATCGCTGTGAAGAACCTTTTGAAGCACCTTTATTGTGTAGTGCAGTGGCATAAAAACCACACCCCACCTTTAATACATGCTCATACACACACACACACACACACACACACACACACCTGTGTTTCTATGTTTTGTCATGCATGAGTCACTCTCTTACATCATCACAGTGGGATGTCTGGACTAACTTTGTAGATGCCAATGATCACATATTAGATGCGCTCAAAAAAAAACAAAAAACAGAAGTCACGACCAACTCACAGACACACAAACACACATTCAGAAACACACTTTCTTGCTGTGAAGCGTGTGTGTGTGTGAGAGAGAGGCTCTGGGCGGCGGTCCAGACACTAAATGAAGGGCAAAATGATGGTGGAAGTTGTAACCTCGATCTGCTCCACAGGTCAAACCCGCACGGGCCGTGATAAAGAGAGGTCAGAGGTCATGGATGCATGAAAGAGCACAGTAATATTGGGAGATCAGACAATGATATGTGTAGTTTACAGAGGAACAGAAAGAAAAAGAGAAATAGAAAGATGGAGAGAGGAGGGGAGATCTGGCACTGTCGGACAAAACAGATGTTTTGTCATGCATGAGTCACTCTCTTACATCATCACAGTGGGATGTCTGGACTAACTTTGTAGATGCCAATGATCACATATTAGATGCGCTCAAAAAAAACAAAAAACAGAAGTCACGACCAACTCACAGACACACAAACACACATTCAGAAACACACTTTCTTGCTGTGAAGCGTGTGTGTGTGTGTGAGAGAGAGGCTCTGGGCGGCGGTCCAGACACTAAATGAAGGGCAAAATGATGGTGGAAGTTGTAACCTCGATCTGCTCCACAGGTCAAACCCGCACGGGCCGTGATAAAGAGAGGTCAGAGGTCATGGATGCATGAAAGAGCACAGTAATATTGGGAGATCAGACAATGATATGTGTAGTTTACAGAGGAACAGAAAGAAAAAGAGAAATAGAAAGATGGAGAGAGGAGGGGAGATCTGGCACTGTCGGACAAAACAGATGGACCCGAGTGTGTGTATGTGTGTGTGTGCTGTTATGTGTCCAAGTACTGCACTCAAAAATGTGAGAAAGAGAGAAAGAAGACAAAAAGAAAGAGAAAGAATGCCAAATTAAGTATAAGTGCTCAGGTAAACATACAATGGACTGCAAAAAATACGTTTACGAACGTGTGGCTGTTTTTTACTTTTATCATTTACTTATATTGTGTTTATACTGAGTGAATCAAGCGAATCTCTAAACTGAATCATCTCACGAAACTGTTTGCATTTTTGCATTTATATTAAAGGAATAGGTCACCCAAAAATAAAATGAAAATTAGCTGAAAATGTCTTCACCTTCAGATCATTCAAGATGTACAGTAGATAAGTTTGTTTCTTCATCAGAACAGATTTGGAGAAATGTAGCATGGCATCACTTGTTCACCAACTGATCCTCTGCAGTGAATGGGTGCCGTCAGAATGGGAGTCCAAACAGCTGATAAAAACATCAAAATAATCCACAAGTTATCCACGCCACTCCAGTCCATCAGTTAACTTTTTGTGAAGCAAAATGCTGCGTGTTTGTAATAATCAAATTCATTATTAAAGCGTTTTAACTTTAAGCCATCACTACCAGCCAAAATACCTGTCTATAATCCATAATAATGCTTCCTCAAGTGAAAAAAATCCTTTAACATCAAAATCCACTTATGACATGTGTTTAGAACTGTTTTGGAATGTTTTTGCTTATAAATGGTGCTTGTGCATATTCCTCTCCTGATTCAGATGAGATTACTTTTTTTTACAGGAGAAAGCAATATTATGGATAGAGGATTCATATTTTAGCCAGGAGCAGTTAAAAATCAAGTCAAGTCAAGTCAAGTCAAGTCTGCTTTATTGTCAATTCTTCCACATGTACAGCACATACACACAGAGAATTGAAATTGCGTTACTCTCAGACCCCTGGGTGCATACAGATAACATAAATACAGATTAAATACAAAATACAAAATACAACTATACAATTTCCAAGATGGCAATTAAAATGCCTTCTTGGTGGATTTGTTTCTTATAAACATGCAGCTTTTTGCTTCACAAGACCTTAACTGATGGACTGGAGTGGTGTGGATTACTTGTGGATTATTGTGATGTTTTTATCAGCTGTTTGGACTCTCATTCTGATGGCACCCATTCACTGCAGATGATCCATTGGTGAGCAAATGATGCAAAATTTCTTCAAATCTAATATATAAATTGTCCCTATTTACTTTCTTGGTCTTATTCTGAATGGTCCTTTGGTTGTTTCAAAGCAAAACTAGCTTTAGTCTATGTAATCTTTCATAAAAAATAAAATAGCTTGCCCATTTGCTTTATCTTTGATGTCACGGAGGCCTTGCAGGCTATATGATAATCTAGCCATTAGCCAGATAGCAGCATGAGTGGGCAGCCTGTAAAATAACAGGCGGAGACGTCTGGCATGTAAACACATTTGCTTCTGTGAAGCCATTCTGAGATTTTGGATGCCAGAATAATGAACTTCAAGTGAACTGAGGACAAGTTTCACAATGAAACTGCAGTGAGTGCGTCATTTATTAATATTATTCAAAAAGGCCAAAAACTATTTTAATAGACTGGAACAAATAATTTAGCATTTTGTACTTTGTACATATATATTTTGTACAGTAAAATTGTGAAATATTTTTACAATTTAAAATAGACTGTTTTCTATTTGAATATATTTTAAAATGTAACGTATTCCTGTGATGCAAAGCTGAATCTTCAGCATCATTACTCCAGTCTTCAGTGTCACATGATCTTCAGAAATCATTCTGATATGCTGACTTGCTGCTCAAGAAACATTTATTAATATCAATATGAACAGTTATTCAACAATTTAGTGTTTTTATGGAAATTTTATTTTTTTTCTCTTTTTCCCCTCCTTTCCCCCAGGATTATTTGATGAACAAAGTTAAAAAGAACAGCATTTATTAGAAATATAAATCTTTTGTAACACTATAAATGTCTTCACTAGCACTTCCGATCAGTTTAATGCATCTTTGCTGAATAAGAGTAATAATCTTACTGACTCCAAACTTTTCTCTTCATTATATGATCAATGATCAAAGCAAGTATGATTTGTGCTCAGATGAGCTTTTCTCAGAACTAACTTCACTCTTCTAGCCATTTTTGCCATGATTTTTAATCAACTTGGCGTCACCAACATCGACAACTCGACTGACTTAGCTAAAAAATAAAAGGAAATGATTAAAGCAGGTGGTTCCTTACAAAACACAGTGCCAGCCTCTGTGCGTTTTACCAAAACAAAAAGAATACAGAATCTACATGCAAACTTTAGTCAACAGTAAGACAGAGATCTCTCTTATTACATCCTACCACAAGATAGGATCCCTCTGAAAGTCATGCAACAAGATTCATTAACACAGACAGTTTGGCTTTAAGCATCTGTCTCGTTGCAGTAACACGTCTAAATCAGACGTGACATTAAAGAGCAGTGGATTCACAGCACTGGAGCTGTGAACACGCGTGTGATTACAGCTTCGTATTGTTCTGGGCACCAGGTAAGAAAAACAAACAACAGCCCCTGATGGCATGTTTATCTCACACAGATGCAGTTAAATCACACAGCTGTCCAGAGCTGATAATAAGCGTTGAAAGAGCTTTACAGAGCTGTTGTCATTTGCACACTCCTGGAGTGTGACCTCGTGTTAAACAGTAACTGGATCAGATCTCTCTCTCTCTCTCTCTGAGGATGCATTGGGTTCTGAGAAAAAAAGGCAAATTTTGACTTCAAATCACATTGACAAATAACATGACCGTTAATGTTTCCAATAAGACTTTAGGTTAAAATTAGGGCTGTCAATCTATTCATACTAATCAAATGAATTAACATGCAATTAATCGCATAAATCAACAGCATTTTTTTTTCTTGAAACTAAATACATTTAATAAATATTTTTCAAAATGAACTGAAAATATTACATTAATATATACAAATAAATTATTTATATATTATTAAACAAATAATATACTTAGTTTTTTTATTCTGGTTGAGTTTAATTTTATTGTCATCCTTTTTTTGATTTGTTAGATATTTAAGTTTTTTCTTTTTTTTTCTTTTCTTTTATGTAATTAATCACATAAGTCAACAGCTTTGCCGTCCATATATTTTTTTAGATACAATATTAAACATTCTTTAAGGAAACAGCAGGACTAATGCAAAGAAATAGATCATTTTAACTAAAGAAGGTAGTTCAGTACATAAATGTTCAATTTAATTCTTATATGTCATGTCATAAAATATATTTGTTTCATTATATGAACATTTCTCCTTAATTTTCATCTCCGTTCCAGTTTAGTTTTATTTTTCTTCATCCTTTTCTTCTTGAATCAGTTTTGTTAAATATCCAAGCTCTAATATTTTTTACGTAACATGCAGTGAATTGCATAATTATGCAAATTTTGAGATATAACATTAAAAAATTCAGTTTGAAAACAGAAGGACTACTGCAAAAAAAACTTAATTTTAACCATAGAAGCTGTTTACATCATAAATTCACAGTGTAATTATTACACGTCAAGAAAGATATTTTCTTCATTATATGGATTTTTTTCTGTAAAAATACAACAAAATAAATTTAAACAATATTATTCAAAAAGGATATTACTCGAGATCACGTGACCCGCTGACAGAGATGGCCGCTTGAGTCTAAAGCTCCCAGACCTGGTGTCGTTGAACCATTCGTTTAAGTTAATAGTCTCGGCGCAACATTCTTATATTTGTTCTCTGAACTTGTTTACTTTTCTGCGATGGTTAAACAACAGCTTTTGCCGTCCTCTCCGGAGAAAAAATGGCAGAAAGAGCCTGCTAATGAAGCGCTGCGTGCCATGGTGGCTGACGAGTTAAAGCTACAGTTTGGCGTCCTTCGGGAAATTTTTAAGAAGGAATTTCAACCGATCGCCGAAAGAATTGGAATTCTGGAGAAAGAGAAATTAGACTGATTAGTAATAATTTTGACAACATCCAGACAGCTGTTCGGAAAGTTAAGCAAGACTCGGCTGAGGTTAAGCTAACCGTAGATACACTTCAAGATAAAATGGCGAGACTGGAAGACAAAAGTCGCCAGTGTAATATTCGTCTCGTCAGTCTCATCGGTTCCATGGCGAGTTCTGGAGGCGAATATTATTCATCCTCTTCATTTATAAGATCTCCCCTGTTCAGGTATTTCAAAATCCTTAAAGAAAACATATGGACCAATTATCGAATATTCACTTGATGCATGGAAAAAGGTGGAAAAAATTATGGGTGGCCCTTTTCTATATAATAAGACAACTCCGTTATAGCATAATAATCGTTTATGCACGGGTAATAAACCTTTTGTTTTTTTAAAGCCTGGTCTGATGCTGGTGTTCATACTGTGACGAGTGTCCCGAAGCTTCATCAGCGTCACCCTGGAAACAAGCAAGGAGCACCTGGCCATCATCATCACAGGCTGATCGGTCACAGCTGCACCTCATCAGGCGGCGGCTACATAAACCACGCAAGCCCTGCCATCTAGGAGATTCCTCCATGAGACTGAGCACTAACTCGCCCTCTCATTTTCCCCACAGAAAGCAGTGTGTGACCGACCAGCCCCACAGGAGCACTGCACGGGGAAGACGGAAGAGAGCACTCACGGCACCGGAGCACCTACCTGGACCTTTCTCACGAGCACCCCTCACCCCAATAAATCCACCCTCTGGGGTATTGATTGAGATTTCTTGTCGTGTGATTCTTCACCCCGTTACACTGGTGGAGAATGCGGGTGAATCAGTGAAGAATCACAGACAAGCGATCTTCACCTCACCTTTTTTTCCCTTGTTTTTGTCTCCGGTTTCTGTCACAGGCGAGCGCTCCTCCCCCACCATGGACGAAATCCTCCAGCGGCTCACCGAGGTTAGCATCCGCCAGCAACAAATTGTTGAGCACCTCACCACCCGTCAAGGAGAGATGGAGCAGGGACCGCTCAACGCGTTCCGCTGCCGGACCCCCGAGTGCAAGCCGCATAGCTGCTACCCAAGCTGACCCCTCATGATGACGTAGAAGCCTTCTTACAAATGTTCGAAGCGACAGCCACCTTGGAAGGGTGGCATCAGGATGACTGGGCACGGGTGCTGGCTCCCCTGCTGACGGGCGAAGCGCAGCGTGCATACTTCGCTCTTCCCGCTGCCTCCGCCGATCAATATAAGGAGGTCAAGAAGGAAATCCTAGCCCGCCTGGGGTTATCCCCTATCTGTGCCACCCAGCACTTCCACGAGTGGGAGTTTAAGCCCCGTCTGCCGGCCCGTGCCCAGGCCACCGAACTCACACGACTCGCGCAGCACTGGCTGCGCGTTGTGATAGACCGTCTTCTCCGAGCCCTTCCCCGATCTCACCGACAGGCCGTTGGGATGAGGAACCCAACCACCATGTCGGAGCTGGTGGAGGCTGTCGAGCTGGCGGATGCGGCCCAACACCGGGATGCTTGGGAGCGAGCGCCGCCGTTTCCCCGGAGGGTGGTCCAGGAGCGACGCGCGCCGGAGGGCACCCCGCGACCAGTACACAGGCCGGCGACTCCGTCCCAGCGGGATGAGCCCATGCCAACAGAAGTCCCCGCACGGACCTGGCTGGCAGGCTGCATTGTGCACCGCGACCTGCCGGTTGGAGCGCCAATAGTGGAAATGAATGGAAAGCCGTTCCGGGCCATCCTGGACTCGGGCAGTGCGGTCACTCTGGTCCAGTCGCATATTCTCGCCCCCCGAACGGAGTGTAAAGCCTTCCTCCCCATAACCTGTGTCCACGGGGACACACGACAAGTTGACCATTTCGGCCGCTCCCGGCACCCGGCCGGAAGTCGGGGTCATGAAGGATCTTCCCATCCCTGTGCTGATCGGGAGAGACTGGCCAGGGTTTGACCGCCTGCTGGCCATGGCTACGCAGCCTGCCAGTCCAGGAGGGTGCTACCGAAGAAGGAGGCCCACGACAGGACCTCGTCAGCGGCCCGTGCTTCTGGCCTCGGATAGCGGGAGAGAAGGTGAGTCCCCCTCCCAAAATCCTAACGTCTTCTATGATGTGTTCCAACAGGTGACGGGAGGGGGCTCATTTGGGAAGGAACAGTGGGAGGACGACAGGCTGAAGCATGGATGGACCCAGGTCCGGGTCATCGAAGGCAAGGCGGTTCAGCCTGGTCCCCACCCTATGCCGCATTTCGTCTTGCAAAATGGCCTGCTGTACTGTGTCGCGCAGCGAAGTGGGGAGGAAAAATTATTGTTGGTGGTGCCACGCACCAAAACGGAGACCGTACTGGAGCTGGCTCACTCCCGGAAAATCAACAGATGCTGAAGTTGGGGGTGATAGAACCATCACGCAGCCCATTGGCCAGCCCCATCGTGATGGTCCCGAAACTGGATGGCACCCTCCGTTTCTGCAATGACTTCCGTCGCCTCAATGAGGTATCCGAGTTCGACGGATACCCCATGCCTCGGGTGGATGAACTGTTGGACCGGCTGGGAAGGGTCCAGTATATCTCGACGTTGGATCTCACCAAAGGCTACTGGCAGGTACCCCTCTCTGAGAATGCCAAACCTAAGACTGCTTTCTTTACCCCTAGTGGCCACTGGCAGTACCGGCCCCTTCCTTTTGGCCTCCACGGGGCACCCGCCACGTTCCAGCGGATGATGGACATCCTGTTGCGGCCCCATCAGGCCTACGCCACGGCCTATCTGGACGACGTCATGATCCACTCCGAGGCATGGGAAGACCACCTGGACCGGTTATAGAGGGTGCTCTGGGAGCTCCGGAGGGCTGGACTCACCGCCAACCCTCGCAAATATCACCTTGCCCTCTCCAAGGCGAAGTACCTGGGTTTCCAGGTGGGATGGGGTCTCATTCGGCCGCAGGAGAAGAAGGTGGAGGCGGTACGCTCCGCTCCGAGACCCGAGACCAAGACCCAGGTATGAGCCTTTTTAGGGTTGGCGGGGTATTATCACTGCTTCATCCCCAACTTCTCCTCTTTAGCCGCCTCCCTGACAAACTTGACCAGGAAGGGGCAGCCGGAGAAGGTACAGTGGACACCAGCAGCGGAGGAGGCCTTCCAGAGGGTGAAGATAGGCTAGATAGGCTGGAAATAGCTGACATTACTGCTATGCATATCTGAATTTTATTTCTTTTATTTTTCTTCCTCTCCTTTGGTACAAGTGGACAGCTTCATGGCATCTGTTTGTACATAGTTCTCTGGAACTGTGAATTGTGATATATGTTTCTGATGTGAAACTAAATCTGAATAAAAATGTTGCTCACAAAAAAAAAAGATATTACTCAAATACATACAAAAAAATAGTTTATATATTGTTAAACAAATAATGTTGTAACTTTCATCTCCCTATTCCTGTTTAGTTGTATTTTTTCTTTATCCTTTTCTTTCTGTATCACTTGTTATTTTGTGAAATATTCAAGCTTTGTGTTATTTATTTTTATTTACTATGAATATTTTACATTATATGTAATGAATTGCATTAATCAACAACATGGTTATGTTTCCATGAAAATTTTGAAACATTTACTTATTCATTTCTTAGATGCACATCAAAAAAGTCATGTGACTTTGTCTCAAATAGTCATGTGACTGAATAATTTGCTCAGAGAAGAAAAATATAAGTGCGGATATACACGGGACATAATAGCTGCTTTATTCACAAATTGTTTTTACAGTATTCAAAAATGTGCCTTAAATTAACTGTACAATTTGGAAGGAAGCTACAAACTGCTCACAAAAGCTATAATTTAAAGACATTACATTGTCTAAATTCAAATCTTGTTTTCTCAAATGACCTGAGCGTATCAGAGAAGGAGCGAAAGGACCGAGCTGGATTTGAATTCAGTCTTGCAAGGAATTAAACCCCTACAGGCCTGAGCTTCAAATCTGGTGCCAATGCCAAAGCTGTCCAACACTACACGACCCAACGAGAGCGTTTCTGCTGCATACTAAACAGTCTGGGCAGGACTGTGTGTTTCTCTAGACCCTTTATTGGTGCTGGAGCCACACATCTGGAACCACGTGGTTCTGGGCCAAAAAACTCTGCTTCACTGTCTGCAGGGGGGAAAAAATCAGGACAACAGTCTGGCAACACTATGCAAAAAATTTAAATAAACAAATGAAAAAATTACAAATAAAAGTTTTTTAATAAATAAAAGTAGCTGTTTACACCATAAATACAGTGTAATTCTTACATGTCATGAACATTTTTTCTGTTTCTATTTTTCTTAAAAGACATACATTTGACAAATGGTGTTCAAAATGAACTAAAAATATTACTTGAATGTATAAAAATAAATGTTTAATATATTGTAAAAAATAATATATGGTGTAATTTTCATCTCCCTATTTTGGTTAAGTTTTTATTTTTTCATCTTTGTAATTTTCTTATTGTTCTAAATATTTGTTTGTGTGTTATGCAAATTTTGAAATATTTTCTTCAATATTTTTTAAACAACAAGGATAATAATAAAAGGATGAAGAAAATCTAATTAAATTATACACATTTTAATAAATATTTTGACATTTTTCTTGAATATTTTTAAGATGATTTTTAAGGATAATAAGAAAAGGAAATGAAAAAGGGAAAAATACATATATGACATTTTTATGAATATTTTTAAGACAACAAAGGTAATAAGAAAAAAGGATGAAGAATAAAAACAATATATAGTATTCAGCAAGTGATGTCAAAATATGTCAAATGCTCTAAGGTTGATGGACATCTCTTGAATATGTTATACTAATTTTTACAGGTTTCTGTAGCAGTATTTTAGAGCAGCCATTGTAAAATATTTAAATGGGGGCAGGGCTATGTGAAATATTGGGATCGTTTCTGGAATAATATGTGATTCGTGACTTGCTCATTTCTCCACCTCCTCTGTTGCTCTCTCTCTCGCTCTCCTCTTGCCCCTCCAGCGGGGCGGAAGAAAGAGGGATGAATTTTTC